GCATTAGCGTATATCATGTCCCATAGGAGAGGCTGAAATCTCTCAAATTGTTTTCTCTTGAAAAAAGAAGGTTTGGGGGGGGGGGGCTATTTGGGGGTTTTAAGATTGTAAAGGGAATTGATAGTATTGATGCATCATCTTTTTTCATATTTAACAGTGAGAATAGTAGGACTAGGAGCCACAAATATAAATCTTGGCAAGGTAGGAGTCATCTTCAGCTAAAATAGTTTCATTTTTCGAACAGGGTGGTTGGCCTTTGGAATGGGTTGCCTTCAGATGTTGAAGAGGCAGTAAATTTAAGTGAGTTTAAGAAAAAGCACGATAAATATATGAATGATAAGGGCTGGCTTTAAGATTATTATTTTTCAATTATTTTAAGCGTTACTTCATACTCACCCAATCGAAATGCAGTGTCACCGTATTTAATGCAAATCCACAATACTTGGAGTTGGACCTAGACACTGACGCAAGGTAGAGTGAAAATACTAATATCTTAGCTCTTAACGTGTTAGTAAACTAATATTAACAATACACGTTGAACTTGAACTAACGTTAGTTAAAACTTAAAGCATGTCATATTCATATCGTAATGAAACTTTATTAAATTATCCTACAATATGCATGTACTTTAACTTTGGGTCATAGTTTCAAAGATTCGTGTCTGACCTTAGTTTCTTTAATTTTTAAAGTGTATTATTATCATTAATATTTGTAATTATTTCTGTTAAAAATATAATTGTTAAAAAAATTAAGATAATCTTTCGACTTCCAATTTTTTATTTGTAGCCAAAGATACAACATAAATTTAAACTTTATAGAAAAAATTCTACGTACTCCCATTTTATTGTTAAACATCACCAGTCTAAAAACCAAAAGTTCAGAAGTGTCATAGAAAAAAGCTAATCTAAAAACATCCATTTCTCGAGGCCAAATACATAAATATATAATAATTCATGATTTAGCTGATACAGTCCTTACCCCATAGATATTCTTTTGACATGTTCTTCTGTAAATTTAACCACCTGACAATAGCTTTAGACGAGGAACAATTGTCGCTGCGAGACAAATGTCATAGAATTACCAGCCGTTACTCAAACTACATCCATAAAATATAGCACTCTGCTCTCAGTTACTGTAAGTTAACAATTATTCTATCTTTCCCTCGTGAACCAAATGAAAAGGTTGCCGCCAGGGTATTTCATATTATTTGCTTGCTGATTGGATGCCACTCAGCCGGTTTTGTTTCATATGTTAATTAACATATTTTTGTTTAAAGAATATATAACACATAATTAACGTAGTCAATCCACGAATCTTTACACCATTGCGTTCTTTTAAATTTGTTAAACCTGAAATTTGAAACACAGTTACTTAGGCCCCTATTTATGTAAAGCATGGTTTCATAAAATAAAACGATAGTAAAGTGACAAAAGTCCCATTTTTATCACATATATGTGCTTTAACTATTCAAATTGTGAAACATTTCGGCCTGCTTTGAAATTGAAGACACTGACATTGTTCAACATTTATTATTTAACAACAAAAGCACGGTTATAAGTGTCATATATTCAGATATATATCCAAGCACAAAATTTATTTGTGCAGTAAGAGTTTAACGTGATATTTAACTGATAAGCCCCAGTGACTCTGCTGTAAATCTCTAGGCTCAAGTCACTAAAATTCAGATTACTGTTACATCTCCATTTGTTAATTAATTTTCCGTAACTTCGTTCCGACGAAACTTTAGCGACACAAGTCCTTACTTAATAAAACTGGTTTATTCTTTCTGAATATAACTTTACGATACACTTAATTTCAACATTCGCGCTAAAACAAACGCTAGAACAACGAACGTTAACTTCAACAATACTCTCTGACTGCAGATCAATTACTCACTACCTACACACACATTGTCCCGTCACGTTGTCACCATTTTATATATACCAGAATACCCCCATCTAGGAAGGTTCGAGAAAGAAGTGGCGTGATACTAGTCACGTGACCTCGCTGACGCAACATTACGATAACTGTGGTGAGTACCATATTCATAGTTCATTGTGTAGCTTTGTGCTTAACAACAACGCCCCCAGTGACTCAGCAGTAAATCTCCAGGTTTTCAAAACTAAAGATCGGATTTGGATACTCGTGCTGGATAGAGCACAGGAAGTCCATCATGTAGCTTTGCGCTCAACAACAACTAAACTAATTATTATTCTTTTAAATTAAGTTATAAAATGCCAATATCGGGAAATAAATGTTTTATTGAGTACTGTGATCGTTGTTTGTTTTGTTAACTTGTTTTCAACTATGTGTAATATGTGCAGATACTGTACATTAGTGTTTGTTTGTTTTGAATTTCGCGCAAAGCTACACGAAGGCTATCTGCGCTAGCGTCCTTAATTTAGCAGTGTATGCCTAGAGGGAAGTCAGCTAGTCATCACCACCCACCACCAACTCTTGGGCTACTCTTTTACCAACGAATAGTGGGATTGACCGTCACATTATAACGTCCCCACGGCTGAAAGGGCGAGCATGTTTGGTGTGACGAGGATTCGAACCCGCGACCCTCAGATTGTGAGTCGAGCGCCCTAACCACCTGGCCATGCCGGGCCTTGTACATTAGTGAGATAGCGAATTCGACATTTATATTGTTATGGTTTTGATTACCGTTCATTTATTATTCCTTATATCGTTTAGTTCAACTATGAACTTTTAGTTATATTAAAGCGTTAATTCACTTTATGTCTAGAGCATGTTAATTTGGAGTATGTATATATGTATTATGAAGCTAACACAAGCTTCCCCTAGTGGTGACGTACAGATATTAATGTTGTGAAAGATTATGTAGATTTATGGTAATAGATAGTCACATGTGATGTAATCTCGTGGTCTAACCTCTAAATATAAACCTTCCTTGATTTTGAAAACGAGTTAGTTCACGAGATATAGTTAAAAAGAATTATTAGTCGATATTGTTCTTGATATTGAGAAGTGGTTTAATTTCGGAACATTGTACTATTCTCTGGTAAATCAGGTTTTTTTCCCTTATTCCTTTGATATTTGTTGAAATTATTAACATTTAGATTTATGTTGCATTGTCCATTAATATTTGTACCTAGTCCTGGCCAGGCACGGGTTTACTATTTTTTTTATTTTTGAAACTGATAAGATTAGTATTCTAGTGGTATGAGCACTTATGGGTACAAGATTATGCACTATATTGCTGCTTAGGACCACAAAAATGTGGCTTCTGAAGATGATAAGGTGAAGTACAAGTCTTCAACATAGTTAACACTCAACACAAGTTGATAAAGGTTAGACTTAAAGAACTGAAGAAACAGGGACAACTGTACATTTCACAAATATTTTATATATTATTATCAAGGTTTTGCTCACAGGAAAATGAAATATTTGTGAATGTATAATTGTCTTTGTTTTCCTCAATTCTGCAATTATGAAGTTTAAAAGTATCAATGGTTTCAAGTATTAAGCATATATGAAAGTTAAAAGTTAAAAATATCCACTCTTCATCTAATTTGTCAGTGAATGTTTGAGCTAACATATTAGTTAGTGGATATGCTTCCGACCACTTTATGGATCATATATTACCATCAAGATATGCATATTACCATTATCAGTTGCTAGGAGAAGCATAGAAATATTTACGACTTTTCTTCAAAAGAGAATCTAAAACTTTCTACCAAGGCTATTCTTGTAAAGTAAAGTTTTCCCTTTGAGCTATACATGCAATACAGTTCTGTGTTACCTCTTGTGGTAACATCACAAGAAAAGCTATCCTCACAGGTCAGTTGAAATTTGAGACATTTTCTGGTGGCCTCTAAGTGTTGTATCATCTGAGGTTTGGAGAATCTTGTATCTCGGAGACTTCAAGTTTACTAACTGCATCCCAACTTGAGTTCCATGTCTGTGCAGATCATGACAATGATATAGTGTTCTGAAATGTACCTCTAATTATTCATACATTTGCCAGCAGTTATGTGCTTTCATGCTAGGTTGCTCTTAAGCCTGCTGAACAGTAGTCAGTCTATCTGAAATGTCTATTAATATTGGTCCAATCTACCATTGCTTCAGTCTTAGCAAGATTTGAAGACATTCCATCTCATTAAGCATATACCCAAGAAACTCTATGTGTTATATACAGGAATAGGCAAATTACTTCTCAACAGCTACTTGAAATGTGAAACCAAATGCCAGAATATCATCCATCCTGCGCAATGCAAATAAAATATTGAAAATTCCACCAACAGCTCAAATGTAACTAGCGCATCACATAAATTTAATGGCGTGATACAAGATTCATACAAGCTTGTCCAAGCAATGAAGGCAGTTTTAGCTCTGCTTTCTTCACTTAATTCCAAACTTCAGAAGCTATGTCTAATGTATTAAATCAATAGGATCATTCTAGTGTATCTAGGCATTCTTCTGAACATGGCAAAAAAGAAATGAATCCATGTGTCTTACCATAATTACCGAATTAAAGTTCACATAGAACATTAGTACATCTCTTTTTTGTTTTTAAAATCATTTTTGGCAATTACCAAGTACTCTTTGAAGATAATATACTGTTATGCCTCTGGTCGTTTGTTAATTTCCCGTATAATTTCTTTCGGATGAAACTTTAGCGATACAAGTCCTTTCTTGTTTATTATTTCTCAATTCAACTTTGTAATACACTTAATTTCCACAGTCACTTTAAGCACACGCTATAATTCACAATGATTCACGCACTTACTTACGGTCACTACCGCGCTTGACTCAATTGTCCGTCTTTATCTCTGCCTGTCTGCAATTCAATTCCGATTAATTTGTCTCACGTTATCCGGCGCACTTATATACAGGAATAGAGGGCGCCTAGCACATACTGGATTATTCGTGATGTTCCCACATCTTTCTAGAATATCATGACTTGTTACCAGTGTCACGTGACTACCGCTGTCGTAACAATCCTATATTCGGTCAAATGTTCTTAATAATGTTATCATTCACCGTTATCA